TATATATATATATATATATATATACATACATATATATAATATATGTATGTATATTATTATTCCGCTCTTATATTAATTTGCCGTTTGTATTTTATACAAGTTAATTAAAATATAAATATGCAATTTGATTGTTGACTGAGAAGGATCTGAACAAAGATCAAAACTAACTGCAATTTATAAATATGTACATACAAATATACAATGTTGTCGGACAAAGATATTTTACTGCTATACATATCTAATCTTTTAAATGGTTACTTTCGTCTGTATTATGTAATCCGAAAAATTATATTAATTATTAAAATGGACTTTTCGAATAAGATTATGGGGTCAAAAATGGAAAGGGATTCTTCTATCTCGAATTTATCAGGAATATTATAACTGGCAAATTATTAACTGCAGTTCAAAAAACCATTAACAAATGATAAACAGTATTAAATTTGAGATATTTGGAAATGAGATGATAGCACCGTGTAATATCTAACGCTCTTATGTTTCCGATTATCGAGGATTTAAAATCTTCAATTTCAAGAAGGATTACTCAACTATTGAGAAACTAATTATTTAAATATTATGTATAGTTTCGAATAAATATATAAAAGCATCGATTTACTGCGATTACTTATATTTTTTTATCAATATATAATAAACATATTCATACAAGAGCAGTAAAACAAGACTACAATAGTGTTTCAGTGTCTTTCAGTAGATTTATATATTGAAATTGTCGTTTTGGGTTCTAGAATAAAAACACTTATTTCATTGCTCCTTTCGATAAATTGCGACATACGTGCCGCTGGTAAATATGAATAATTTACATTCTATATTATCTTAGTTATGTCGTATTACATACGTATTAATTATCTCTACTCATAAACAAAACGCATTCGACAGTCTATATTTATATTAAATATAACGTTAAGCTGATCGCTTTGATAAAATAAAATATATATTAGTAAGGATATAAGAAGGTGAAAAATATATTAGAGCCACGTAAAATTTACGATTAGTATTCTACTTTGTAAAATAAATTTTACACTTAATAATATAGCATTTTATAAAATTAAAATTAAAATTAAGATGCTCACATCTTCTTTCTCGTGCAAAAAATCTTAATAAATTTCAATCTATTAATTCGATTGTATCTACCAGGTACTTTGTAATAAACAGGACCAAGACGTTACCATTATTTATGCCTGAGAAGTAATCAGTAGGATCAACTGCACATCATTTATATTCTGGTTAAGCACCATCGCTATTTCAAATCAGTATGCCGTTAAATTCCAAAAAATTGATCACATATAAAGCACTCTATTATACCCAGCAATCATTTTCTCGGTCTTCGTCTCGGGTATAAGTAATGCTAACGTTCAAGTCCCGGTAATAAGATTACATCATTCATTTTATAATGATATACATGATGTGGCTTTACAGGAAAAATGCTTCGCTGAATTTTATTTGGTATACTTTGCGATTGGGATAAGTTACTGCATGGTTTCAACAATCAATGAGGAATGTCAGTGTGGCACATATTACGTATGCATCTACATTGTGCGCGTTTTAAGTGTCAGTAACTATTCCTCAAACATTTAGGGATACAACTCATATGTCAAATAAAAATCTATTGGTCCAAAGAACATTGAGAAAATATGTGTGAATTAAAATAAACACTCCGTATTCCATCACAATTTTCAAATAGATAGGCGTAGTCTCGTCTATAGAATATTACATTATATTTTTAATCAAATTCGTTATAAATATTTTTACTTAAAATTTACAATAATAAATCGATAAAATTCATATAAATATATACAAGATAAAAAAACTGATCTCAAAATATTAATACCCTTTATTTTGAAGAATAATGACAGTTCCAAATAAACAAAATGTATCCAAGCCCTTTCTACTCTGTAAAAGAAAAGTATGTAAAATTACATGAACAAGTAAAACTAAATATATGAAAATTATACATTGTATGTAATTATTTCAAAATTGTATAAATTTTACACTTACGTTCACGATTTTACATAATTCTTTTATAGTGTAATTTCTTCACCTTTTCTCTATCTCGTTACGCGTTTATTTAATTAAGTGTCAAGTATCATCGAAATATGAGAAAAGTTCTCTTGGTTTCATTTTTGAACGACCTCACTTATAACATTTCAAATTATTTTTGTGATTAACAAGAAAAGATCTGAATATACAAATTCGCTTGAAAGTTATTTTAAAACACAGAAAAAGTGCGGAATATAGAAGCCGATTGCTACAGAGTTTCAAACAAATTCCAATTGACATAATCGATGATTAATTTAACCACAAATACCCACAATAGGATTTTTATTGTTTCTTTTCATGCGTCAAACAATAAAATGTCTATCTATGTTAACAAAATACTACAGATATTTCTTATTAATCATCGATTAAATTAATTGTACTTTACTTGAAATCACTCTAAAATCTTATAGTATTACGTGTGTCTATGAATAGATTGCAGGAAATTCGTTTATAAGTTGTAAGTTTAATTACAATAATTTAATAAAATAAATTATGGTTTGGAAAAATAACAAAAGTGATCGAAAAGAAAAGTTCTCTGTGTATTAAATTTCTTTCATAAAAGAATAGCACGAGTGCGTTCGTTTCACACGTGATGCAAATGATGATTATTTTATTCTTGTTGTTCATCGAATATCAAAGAAGGATAAAATGATACATTATATGTATCGTATGTTAAACGCACGTAGTCTTTCACAGATTGGTGTTTATCATTTTAAAAATTCATACTTTTCAATATATTGACAAGTGAAAACAGTGGTTTTTTTTAACAATGGACTATTTTTAAGTTAAAATGTCAAAGATTTTATTTTTTTATTTAAAAAATCAATGAAAATTATATTTACTCTATTTTCTTCTTCTGAATATTCAAAATTGATTTCTAATTTTAAGATAATAAAACTTTCATAAAATTTTATCTGATCAGCTTCGAATCGAATAACATCCAGTTAGATACGTTTACTGTGAAAAGGATTTGCCATCTGTATAGAAATCCATACCTGGATTTGGATAAAGCCATCTACCCATACAGCAATGGAAATCTGCGAGATATACTAAAATCGTTCTGGATATTCGAAACATATTGCGATTTTCTTACGATATTTCTAGTTCATTATAAGTATATCTCTGAAGTGTTCTAATATTGAATATTCAGAAAATCTCGATAAAAAATATATAAAAATTATAAAGATAATTCACATTAAAGAGGACACAGTCTAAGGGTACTTTAGGCGCTATAGTTAAAAATATATATACACGGTTAGAATATATATATATATATATATAGAATATATATATATATATATATACATACACATATGGCAGTGTGATTATATTGTATTATATTTAAAAAGTATGCTCCAGATACATCTCCCTTTCTCCCTTTTTCTCCTTCTCGATTGCTCTCAATATAATGCTATGATTCCCAGCAAGATATGTTAAAGAAATCCCGCAGATCTTTTTTTTATCTTACTGTGTGGGTAGAATAGTCACACAAGCTCGACGCTGATTTTCTACATGATTAGTTTGGAGTTCAGTGCGAACGATCCAATATCAAATCTTCGTAAAATGTTCTTCACTAAACATGTAATTCACGATTTCTTGGCTAAATGGAAGCAGTGTCGCCTTACATTCTCTCGCATGATATTTGCAAGTTATTGCAAGGATTAATAAAAAATGAGATACATCGCTCTTTTTATTTACATTTTTAAAACAGAGATCTACGTGTATGAAATGTAATATTGATATATAATTTGGCAGCAAATAATTATAATTTTACCTATTTAAATTTTTCTTATTCACCTTACAATTACTTGTGTAATATTTTGCCCATAGTGTTTTATTTTACATTTTCTAAACATTAAAAAAATGTTTGTCAATTTCACAAACCTTTTTAATGTTAGTGAATCTATCTCCAATGCATGAAGAGGCATTGGAAAAGATAAAATATGTAATGTGTAGTCGATATACTTTTATTAGGATAAATGCCATGATGTAACTAACGATCACTTGTATAGCATTAGAGGAGAAATTAATAATTATTCAAATAGTAAAACATAAAATCGGAGATATATGCTTGTCTTTTTTCTATTGTTTCAACATTCCTCATTGATACGTATAACAAAATTATGATACAAAAAATGGTTGTGCCATTAAAATAAACTATATTAATGGACACTAACTACATACTAGATTCCTTGGTAGTAATAATCTCGTTGGTATTATCAACACGAATCAAAGTAGTTGAATTTAATACAAGAGCTCTACCAAGAGTAGCAACTCGTTCTACTACGCACGAGGCAGAAAGGCGTGCTTCGGCATCGTGATCCCAACATTCTTCCATTGTATCACAAATTGATGATAATCCCTGAAATAACACATATTTCAATTATAAACATTAAAAAACTGTATATTCAATTTTATTTTTTTTTTTAGATAAAATTGTTCTTTGTACAGCTATAAAAAAAAATTTCTATTACTAGCAGTTTTACGATCATCAAGTCTAACTTCTGTAATTAAACAATTCAACATATCCCGTATTTTCTATTAGTACAGCCTTACTCTATCACTACATGAAGAATTTATTGCCAAATATTTATTTATTAAATAATAAACAAGGTTTAAAGGCTCATTTCAATAAAACTTGAAGACATCCAAATTCTAAAATCTTGTTTTACAATGACTACGGGCATGATCTAATAATAAATTTAAATAGTTTTCAATCCAAGAGCAATAAATTCATAGTGGAACCAATAGATAGATAACGTTTATTAGTTTAGCAGAAACGCCGCTATCTCATATTAGGCGCCTATCTCATAATAGGGAACTTTCTCTAATAATTCTGTCGTGAATTAAAATAAATATTTCTGTACATTTTTACTTACTGGATGTTTGCGCCAAGTTTCTAAAATGAGCGGTCTCTCTTTTTTATGAACGACACTTTCTTGCATGTCTTCTAGAGTAGGATGGAGACCAACTTCGTCCTCAAATGGTAGTCGATATTCTCCTATTGGTCCCTAATATTGAAACAAAAATAATTAGTATCTTTTGACACGCGCTTAACTTGTAAGATGGATAGTACATGATTTTAGTCATTGTGTGTGTGTGCGTGCACGCGCGCGTGTACGTATGCACGCGCGTGACTACATTTTAAAAATACGAAAATAATATCCAGTTTTCATTTCGTTAAGATTTCATGTGCAGCCGCATTTTTATCATCATTCTTCAAAGTAAATTTTGACATATCATAGTCTGATATGTTTCAGTTTTCTTCCAATTTCTTGTAATGGATAGTTCAGATTTTGAAAATTCACAAATTTGAATAAACACAATTTTTCAAATGTTAAAATGCGGATTATCTGGGTAATATCGACGTCCACCAAATGGAAGGATCAGGTAACCCAAGAAATCGGATATAGGATATCCAGGTAATCATTTCCTCGATATCCACATATCCAAACCATATTTACAGCTCTAGTCTTGAGAGCTCGCAGTTCAGCAAAAATGCATATTCTCTGTAAAACATGTTATACATAATATATATTACGTACATTTTGTACAGTACATCTTGAAGCTAATTCCCACAGAACTAACCCACAGGCATACATGTCAATTCGTAAAAATGAATCTCTAGTAAAATTTATTGCTCCTTCTAAAACTTCTGGTGCCATATATCTTCGCGTTCCAACCTATAAATTATTATAGTTATTATAGTTATTTTCACATCAATATAAAATACATAATGATATATACATTACCTGTCCGTGTGTATCACCGCAAGGTTTTCCCGGATGAAAAATAAGCGCCAAGCCAAAATCTGCTATACAGGCACTCATGTCAGCCTTGAGTAAAACGTTTTTCGACTTAAAATCTCTATGAGCTACAGCTGGTTTATAGCCATCTGCTTTATTAGCTGGGATTTCCTCATGTAGATGCATTAAACCTCTGATAACAAAAATGCTTTTATTAAAGATTGAACAATAACTCAGTAAAAATATTATTTTATTCAATTTACATATAATTTTGTTTCGTTCCTAACAGATTATTATCGTTGTTATTATAACTGTTACCTTGCCATGGATTCTGCAATTCTACACATCTCAGGCCATGTTACAATGTTTGCTTTTAAATAATCGCACAATGAACCTTTTTCGTGATACGCCGTGATTAACCAAAATTCAGCTTGTAGATTATCTCCACGCTTTTCAACACCTATAAAGTGTAATATGTCCTCGTGATCCATATGTGCAAGCTTAAAAATCTCTTGTTCAGTCTGCCAAGATTGCTTATCTTGAATGGGAAAAACTTTAACTGCCACGATCTCATTTTTAAATTGGGCTTTCCAAACTGCTCCGAAACGACCTCGAGCTTTGATCTCAAGAAGTTGTATTGGTCGTAAGCCTAGATTAGGTGAGGGTTGTGGCAATGGTACTGGTTCCAGCGTTGGTATCTGAGAGATTTATATAAATTTCATAAATTATATAATACATTTAAAAATTGTGTAATAATCTCAAAATACAACCTCGTTAAAATAGCCCAATTTTCGACGACGATAGAGCCACCAAAAAGAAAATAAACTAATTGTAAGAAGTATAGGGATTGCTATTAAAAGGGCAAGTGTTATTGCTTGCTGCTTTGCATTAGGCATAGGTTCTAATTCTGAAAAGATAATTATTTAAATATTATTACAAGTGTATTGCAAGACACAAATTTATTTTCAAATACAAAATAAACCATGCATATTTGAATACCATGAATAACGGATGGTTCTGTAGACTTAATGGTTGGTTGTGGAACCCAAGAGAAGTTTTGGTTACACATAGTGCTATCGCAACAACAAAAGAAGTAGTCATTTTTTCTTTCCATATTATTCTCTACACAAAAAGGTTTACCATAACAATCAGTGTTATCTAAAAAACAACCCTGAAAATAATGAATAATATGCATAGAAAATATATTCAACAAGAAGAGTAAAATCTGTAATTTAATTTTTCACACAGTGAAACAAAAAAGCAATATGAGATAATTCAAAGAAAATTGCAATTTACTTTTAAGACCTTAGGATTAATTAAAATAATCAAATTCTAAAGTTGATGTTTTATATTACAAAATAATTAGAGATATAAAAGTTCTCAATATTTCTGTTTAACTATTAATATACGGTTTAGTTGAAACAATTTTTTTCTCTTTAAAAGCTACTCCATTTTAATTGCTTATGCATAGACTTGAATAGATTACAATAAATTATATATATATACAAGGTGTTCCGAACTTTTTTGCTAATCACTTTTGTGTAGATAGAGCGGATTAAACTGAGTCAAAAAGTCCTCTACCATTTTGCAATTTTCGCAATAGTTAACAAGATATTAATTA